TCAATTTTTACTTTCATTCATGTCATAACAAATTCCTTTGCATCCAATCTTGCCCTCTTCCTAATTATTCTCCAAAACCATAACCACAGTGATCTTTCTGAAACTCAAACTTCATAATGCTACTATTTTACTCAAAACTCTTCAGTGACTTTAGTTGCTTTTAGAATAAAATCTAACTTACTTAACATGACATACAGGCTGAGAATTGTCCTTAAATATATATTTTTTAGCCCTCACTCCTGCCCTAACATATACTCTACAATCCTGCCGTGTTATTTCTTTTAGTACTCTGAACATGCAATATAATCTCTTACCTCCTGCTTTTGAACACTTTATGCCTCATTAACTCCTTCTTATTATTCATGTTTCAATTGGACATCATATTTTGCAGAGAGGAATACTGCTCTAAAGTCCCATGATTAGGCACTTTCTGTTTAGGTAATAATATGTCATGCCCCTGAAATTTAATTGTATTGTATATATTTCTATATATCTTCTCAATTAAAACACAATAAAGTCAGAACCTTTGTCTGTGTTATTCATGTCCCCAGGATGTCCCCAGAGCCTAGCCCAGTGCCTGGCATATAATAGATAACTTATCAACATTTTTTTAAATGAATGATCTCAGCATTGGGATAGGCAAGAATGTTCTTATGTGATAGTGCTCTTTATAGAACTTTACATGTTTTGTCTGATTATTCATGAACATAAACCTTATTTATCTGATATTTTTTCAAGAAATTTGTAGAAATAGTAGTGTTAGTAGAATAGTTCCTATTATATCTAATTTCAGTCAAGCAAATAATCAGTCTGAAAGGGGAATGTAGCTCTTCCCTAATGCTGTGGAGGTTGGTTGAGTAAAAGAGATGCAAATTGTGTATTTCTCAATACTTGGTATACTGCTCCATGTTTATTCCTACTGACTAAAAACATAGCATGATACCATAGAAAACTAGGTAGATCATCTCTAATAGGACCAAAATGAAAATACATAAGGCAAATCAGCCTGTTTTTCACATAATTCTTTCTTATTTATCCTCTACATTAGCTGTTAATTTTGAGAACTGTAAGTTTAGACTTGGGCATGTTTTTGTACTTGTCATTAAAGCCATAAATTTTTTATCATCAAAAGGTCAGAGTTCAAAGAGTTTTGCACTTGGTACAGCTGTACCTAGCTTAGTGCCTGCCCCCCCCCAAAAAAAATACAAAAAAAATTTAAAATTAAAAGGTAGCTCACATGTATTGTTCTCTTTACTCATACCCAGAATTTATAGTCATAATGAAAGTGCTGAAGGTAAGAATCTTACTGTACCCATTAAAATATATAGAGAGATTATATTCTATAATTGATCCAGAACATATGAAAACACCAAGTATCCACTGAAAATAAATTTTCAGAATTTATAGTAGACTTCAAATTTTAAGTAAACTTATGTTTACCTTAAAGCAGTAGATCTCAAAGTTTTTGGTTTTAGGACAACTCTTAAAATAGTTTAAGCTCTCCAAAAAGCTGTTTATAAAAAATGTGAATTATATCTAGCAAAATTGACTTGTATCAGAAATTACAATTAAGCATTTTCTAAA